CTGTTGGCAGCTCAGCGGCTGCTCAGCTCGGGCTGGACTCGAACCGCTGTTGCTCAGAGCTCAAACTCTTGAGCGAGCTCTTAACCAACTGAGCCACTGCTAACCTATTTTTAAAATAAGAAAAGGAAGGTACAGAATGATTAGGTAACTTTCCCAGGTCTCATGCCTAGAGGTGGCAGAGTCTAGATTTGAACCCAGTCAGCCTTACTCCAGGACTCCTGGTCTTAACAATTACTCTGCATTACTTATATAGCAATTCTCTAATTTCAGAACTGCTGAACATCCAAAATACTTAGCTTATTCACCTATAAGAAATCCAGTGCAACAAAAAAAAATAAAAAGCTTTTGAGTCACTTAAAAAATGTGAGATAATAAAAGTAATGATTTAACAAAATTTTATTATATTTAAAAAAATCAAACGACATTGATCCTGGATTTCTCAACTGCCTAGCAATTATTAAACTATTCAGTTCAATTCTACAAACATTTATTGACTGCTCACCATGGGTAAGGCACTGCTGGAAATATTAATGATTTAGAGATGTTGTCAAAAAGTAAATTCTCAAAAAAAAAAAAAAGTAAATTCTCGGGCATATCACAGATAACACCTTTGGAAGATAACACTTATCAATTGTGGTTTAAAAATTATAATTTCTTGGCATCTGTTAGAGAGAAAATAGAATTTTAAATTACTCTAGAATGAGCTTTTATAAGGAAGAGCTATTTTTCATCTCCTCGACTTTTATAGGAAAAGAAGTGCCGAACCTAAAGATCCTGAACATTAGGGAATAGGGCACCACATCCTGAGAGAATTCCTGAAAACCAAGGGAAGAAAAGGCAACAACTCACAGTTGTAACTCACAGCTCTAACAAAGGCATAAAACGCACTGGTTGTGAATCCTTGTTTTATAGGTATACTCAGATACTATACCTATAGACTTATCATTAAATAATTCCAACTTCTAAACATTCAGTGAAATAAAACACTTTTTCCTCTCTATAAATTTGAGCTCTGTACATCCAATAACTCATTCATTTTGTACCTGTAAGGTGTTATAATCTCTTGTGAAGGGCACCATCAACTCCCAGAGTGATGAAAAAACCACCAGGGCTGTAAACTCTAGCTTGTAATTTGTGGCCATGTGCTCAAACAGCATTGTCAAACCATGGGCTGCGAGGTGCTTGCGCTGATATTCCTCAGACCCTTCGATAGACACAGGTCGGGTCATGGAAAGGGATACGTCCATTACCACCACTGTTGGCATGATGAAAACGATCCCAATGTTCCCAGTCAGAATGCAAACAGACAGCTAAAAACAGAGAAGTGCTGTAGAAAATAAATATTGTTAGGCCTACATGTCAAGGAGAGTAAGAAATATTTTTTTCACCATAATTTTAACCAAACTTTTCAGAAATGAGTGAAGGCAAACCCCATTTAAGTTGAGGTAAGGGCAAATCTATAGAGAATTCGGTGGGAGAGAACAAGAAGTTTAGTTCACTGTAAAAACTACTCCTAACATCACCCACGAAATGGCCATAATAAATCAAGGACCACCTTACGTATTTCTACTAAAAAAACCCAACAATATTAAATTCAGGTAGTCCTTGACTTTCATAGTTCCAAATTTTATACAACTTAATACAACAAACACTCCTACATCACCTCTCCAACACTTAATTTACTAAAAAACATTTCTAGTCGTCAAATGGCGGTGCTTTTTGACATTCGACCAGTCTTTTTGGGCACTATCACTATCTTAATTGATACAACAGTATTTGTGCAAGTGTTTATTTAATTATCTTGTTGTTTGGTGTCCCTCCCCCCTCCANCATTCCTTCCACTTTTAGGCTGCCATGGAGCAGCACACAAAAGTTGGGTATTTTGCCTGCAATCTGATTGGCTGAATTTTCATCTTCATTATCATCAGTTATGCCAGTACCCACTTCATCACCTTCTGTGAAAAGAAAATAGGTTAGACTGAGATTAGCTACAAAAATCCCAAACCCCAATTATATTCTTGGCTGTTTCTAGCCTTGGCAGGAAAGTATATGGAGTTAAAAAAGAATATATAACAAGTAAGAAAAACTCATATTCTGGTATTCCTATGTCCACATAAAAATCAGTTTTTACATGTTATATAAATTCCATATATATGAAACATCGAGAAGAAGCACATTAGTGGTTACGAGGCGCTGAGGGAGACTGGGGGTGGGGTGGTGGGATTACTAAATTCTAAAATTGACATGGTGATGGCTGTACAACTCGGTAAGTATACTAAAAACTACTGAATTGTATACTTTAAATGGGTGAAGTGCATGGTATATGAATTATATTTCAATGAAGCTGCTACACAAAAAAATCAGCTTTTCAGTTTCTACTAGGACACTCAGCCAGGTGCTCTCTGTGGGTTTCAAACACCATCTAATCAGAACCAGAGATTCAGAGATGTCAAGAGTATTCTCAACTGACAGCCTCTAGGCAGCACATGGATGGGAGCCCCCAAAGGTGAGCAGTAATTACTCCATAAGCTTCTTGACTCTCCAATTTCAGTTTCTCTCATACACCCGGCTGACAGATGAAACTTCCTACAATTAACTTCCCTCTGGAACTATCTGTGTCTCAATCTCGCTCAAAGACTTTCTAATTCAATAGAAAGAATTTGCCCAGTTTAGCTTGACATTCAACAGCCCTTACAGCATGGCCCCATTCTGCCTTCCCATACTTTTCTTTCCACTGCTCCCCTACACAAACTCTTCATTTTTCCCACTTTCTTTCTTGGCAATTCATTTGGGCATGCAGAATTGTCTCCCCAACCACGGACCTTAGAAATATGTAAAAGGTGGTTGTTATCAATATCAGTATCAAGAACAATATGGTAAATTATAAACATAATGATCACAATAAGCCATCTGTGGGAACATATCAAGATTCTGTCTGTGAATGTGTGATAGAGGGCTATGGAATACCCAACTCTCCAAATGAGAGAGCTGGCATAAATGGAATGTGATCAAAACACAGTGAGTAGAAACCTGATTGACTATATACATTTCTTGGAGAAAGCTGGTGAATATAAAGTGGAGGGTCAGCCTAGAACACAGAAAAGAGAAGTTTAAAGTGCAAGAGACTAAAATTCTCCAGAGATGCTGAATTTGGGGGACATGACTTCACATTTCCTGGAGAGCTTTATTCTGCAGTAATTCATCTCTTCACTCAATAGTATTTACTGAGTATCTGCTATGTGCTAGGCACTGGCAGACAAAAGATGTAGTTTCTCCCCTTATGAAGCTGTATTTGACTCTAGATTTATCAGGCAACCCTCTAAAAATTACTTTGGCTTCCTCAGCATGCTCCTCCCAGGAAAGGCAGAGCCCTGGATGAGGGACTAAGAAGTCTCATCTGTAAAGAGGACTTCCACTGTAAATTAACAAAGCAGCACACAATAAATATGTGTTGATATGCTTTCCACAGTGTAAAGCAGCAGAATTAGTTGTCTTCATTTTTTAAAAATCCAATCCAATCCAGTAACTATTCCTTTCTCACAACATTTAAGAATAACTTTAGATGATAAGATGCTTCATATGTATCACTGGATAGGAAGAGAACTCACCTTTGTTAAGAGCTATAGGTAGGACTAGATGCCTGGACAGGACAGGGGGACTTGAAATATCAGCTATATCAATAAATCCCACTATTTCCAAATCTGAAAAGAAGTAATCAACATAGAACTAATTAGTGCTATTGGAAAAATATGTTATTTTCTATGTACTAGATTTCACAAACACAATGTTTAATTTAAGCAGGGAATTCAAATATGGTGACTAGGAAGGTTATTAGAAGTTTCTCTGGATAACTCTAATAAATTTGCTTTTAAGTAGTTCAAAAATAAGGATAATTGTCTTTTATTTAATGAATTTAAGTTATATAACAAATCAGCTAGACTTTATTTTTATGAGGCTAGGTCCCCAGCTAAGGCAAAAAAAGCTTAAACGTCAAATCCCTCTGCATAATCAGAGATGTTCCGGCCACCAGGGGGCATCAAAGTCAAACACTTCTACAACAAACAACTCCAAGCAGCCATCCTTGCAGGGTAAATTGTTAGAAACATTTCCCTGAGAAAAAAATACATTCTCTGCAAAACCAAGGTAACAGTCTAAATATGACAATGAGTAAAAAATAAATGTTGTAAAAAATAAGAAAAATAAAAGTTGTAACCCAAAGTACTTTTAAAAAGTTTTTTGATTATATAGGTAGTATAAAAACTTGAAAAACTCTAAAAAAAGGTAAAGAAGAAAAATAAAGTCACTCATTATTCATCATCAATGGAAACCTCTATTAATATTTTATTGAATTGCTTTTCAGTCTTTCTTCTAGGCATACACACACACTCATATTCTCAAAACAATTTCTAAAACATGAGGCTTATGGTAAGTACACTGTACTACTAATACATCGGGAAATCTGCTTCTCTGAAGATGTGCCGTCATTACCTCCTTTAGCTGAGTAACAAATGAATCAGCAAAAGCAGTTATATATTTTTCATTTGAGTAGAGAAAGGCCTACATTTAAAAATGGTTTAAGGGCCGGCCGAGTGGCACAATGGTTAAGAACTGGCTTGGGACGCCAGAGGGCCCCGGTTCGGATCCCATGTATGAGGGCCAGTGACACTGCCCTCCACAGCTAAGATGCTGAACAACAGCTCAACCTGGAGCTGGGCTGCCGTGAGTTG